TGCCAGTCAAATGCTGATCCAGTGACTTCAAAAACCATAACTAGGGATGCACGGATAGCATTTTTTCAAGACTAAGTACTTTCCCTCAGGTACGGTACTTGTCTATACCCATTACAGATACATTTTCTTAAAGGGACATGTGACATTTTTTTAAAACAATACAGACTAATGATTTTAGGACAGTTTATTTATAATTATAAAGAACTGTAACTCAATCCATGATTATTCAGCAAAGGAGAATGGCAACCAGCAACAGAAGACTAAAGATGACATCAACCCATGACTATACAGCAATGGAGAATGGCCACTCGTTCACCTGGGCTGCTTTTGGGTGTCGCCTGGGCTATACTGGTGGGTGCCGGGTGCTGGGCTCTCCAGGGCTTGAATGGGTGGGTGACAGGCTGTCCTAGGCTGTACGGGCAAGTGTGAGCTGTCCAGGGCTGTCTTAGTAAGGACCAGGACTGTTAAAGACACAAGGTCCCAAGCAGGCTGCCTGAGGTCTACAGCAACGCAGGACTTCAGGCAGTCAGTCATTTAAAAAATGAAAGTGCTGGCATCAACATTGTGTATCGGGGGATTTTCACAAGTACTATATCAGCCCATTCTTAATAAGCATGCAGTTGAGAGAATTTGGCTTTACAATGTTCATGGGTTTTCTTGGTCATTGATTAAAAGGTGTTTATTACATTAGATACTCTTTATATCATGACAAATTGAACAGCGGAGTAAGTTAACATACCAAAAACACTTTAGACAATGTGTTACCGTTGAATGCAACCTACGACTAACAGTTCTGTTTTTGTGATCAAAAGCAGGTTAAGAGTTGTTGAAATTGTCTGAAAATTGCTGTGCATGTGGCTGACATGATGTGTCTTTGATTGGTTTTATTAGTTAATTTGAACTTTTGTGTGTATGTATGGTGTATGTATGTTTACAGTGGTGCTTTAAAAGTCTGTGAACCCTTTTGAATATCTGTTTTTTCTTGAATATGACCTAAAGGTTTTTTTTTTTGGTTTTTTTTTTTGGTATTTGTTTTTGATAATGAGAATCCAGCAAAACAAAGGAGTTATGAACATAAGGATTGTGTGGAATTCTGTGGCTAGAATTACAGGTGTGCAATAAGCCAGCACCAGGAAGTCTGTGTAAATCGATAACTGGCTGACAGGAGTCATGGCTGTTGGCATGTAAGGCCCGGTTCACACCTGGGCGTCGCGGGAACGCATATCCCGTGTGTGCGTGTGCTGAGTTTGCCATTTGCCAGTTCATATATGCACGACCTGCATGGTGTCATTCTGAGCCTGATGAAGGGGACCCAGTGTGGCACCGAAAGCGCTAGTTTTTGAATTGCAATGTTCCTTCAATAAATGGACTTTTGCTTGTTTCACTGAATGCTGGTGTGCTAGTGACGTTCCTACAAATTCAAGTTTATTCACGGGGCCATCCGTGGTCACTGCAAGCACCCACCTGTCTATCGGGTTACTTCTCTCTGGTAAGGAGTGCAGCAAGAGATCTGGTCATTACATATAGTATATGCATGATAAACGCTCAAATGATAAATGCTCATAAACTGTTTTCCGTGCCGCTTTTTGGGTGCCATTATGAATGGCACTGCAAGCTTGTGCGTTTCCGCGAAAAGTTAGAATCTGGTCACCACTCAAAATACATTAAATAGTGGGACAATTTTGAGGATTGACAAAGTTTTTGTTACATGAATGTTTGAAGCCACTGGGATCAGAGATTCTATGGGCAGGCTGACTCTTAACAATATCTTAAACCTTAGTGTTGTCAACACTTTTTTTTATTAAAAAAAAAAGGCTTAGGAGTACCCTGAGGGTAAAATTTGAGATGTCAATTAAAAGCAATAAAGCTTTTAGAAATATCTCAATGGTCAAATAAAACTCACCCCATCAAGTTTTTAATAGTTTTTGTTGTGTTGGACCTTCAGGCCTCTATCTTCTAGGCAGTATGGTAGGGGCCCTGTGGCCGTGGAAGCAAAAATGTATTCCAGCATTGCACAGTTGTACAGTCTGCTGTTTTGTACGGATATTGCTTACTCTGACTTGACTGCACACTGAGCTTCTCACAGTGTGCAGTAAAGTCAGAAGCGGTGTTCTATTAAATTTTGTGACTGTGTTAGAATGTGTGACCGGTGACGTGGTCACACATTTTAACCTAATCCCGCCCAGTTTTTCGTCGGTGGAATGTGTGACCGGTCATGTGGTCACACATTTTAATGTAATCACGCCCACTTTTTCTGCGGTAAAATATGGGATCGGAAAAAGGTGAAAAATTCTAGCTTTTGTATGTGCAGGGGAACCGATCTGCCCTGGAACAGCTGATCGGTAATGAAATGTGACTTCTATCTGACTTTGTGAGTCCGATCTCACATTCCACAAAGTCGGATAGAAGTCACATTTCAGGACTGATCAGCTATTCCAGGGCAGATCGGTTCTCCTGCACATACAATCTGCAATGCCAATCTGCCCTGGAACAGCTGAGAAAGCGTTGGAATTCTTCACCTTTTGCCTGTCACATATTTGACAGCAGAAAAAGTGGGCGTGGTTAGGTTAAAATATGTGAACACGTGACCGGTCACACATTCTAACACAGTCACAATCTTTGATAGAACAGCGACAGTAAGTTATATCCCTCCTTATCCTTGCTAGAGAACCACCAGAATCATATAGTGCTTTCCTCCCCAGCTATTACTGTCTCTGGCCCACCCCCAGGGGCGGACTGACAACACACGGGGCCCCCGGGCAATACAAGATTATGGGGCCCTCTTGTGCTCCGCCCATATATATCCGGGCCGGTAATCAGGCATTGTAGAGGGCAGCCCGCTGGGGATCTGCCGAGGACCCCCTTGAGGAGCAAGCAGCCGGCTATTACAGAGCCGCATCTGACGCGGGCGGGCTGACCAGGTGCGGATGGCAGAGAGGCAGCGGCGAGGGGACGGTCAGTGACGGGCCCTCGGCCCGTGCCCGACTGCCCGAATGGTCAGTCCGCCCCTGCCCACCCCTTTTATTCATTGGACTTCAGCTCTTAAAATCATACATGAATGAAAAAGTGAATTAATTGGAAAAGTTTTGCCAAAACTGACTAGGCGAAAGTATACAAATAAGCCCATCTGACTTTCTCACATTCTTGGTCTGTCTACAATTTACATGTCAGTGACTCAGAAAACAGTGAAGCTAGTGGACAGCATAATAGTCGGGCTACTAACATTTTAAATCTTTGTTATCCATTAGTAAATCCAAAGCAGATTGTACATTCTTCTTGTAGCTTGAATGGTCTTTGACTTAACTGTAAAATTCATCTATGTATTTGTTTTACATACATCATAAGAATGGAAATATCCTTGATGGGCATTTAGGAAAGCTTTGTTGCACTTGTCCTTTCCTGCAGTAAAACACAAGTTTTGCTATATGAAGATGCATTCCAAGTTAAAATCATTGTTACTCTTTTACTCATATAAAATTATTTTATATGTGGAGGGTTCAGATCTTTCCACTGTTGCTCAGCTTGTTGTTAAAGGTAAACTGTAAAGACCTATTCACACCCACTACGAGTGCTGCCTCCAGTACATATAGGAGTTAATGGGCACTTAGAAACACATGGAAATGCCTTATTAATTCAAGGCCCATTCACACCACCGTGCAGTGTGTTGCATTGCATGTGTTTTCATGCCTTGATGCACAATGCTGTGTGCTGTTGAGCACAAAATATTTGCTGTCTGCATTCTTTCGCAGCACAAAGCACAGGAAGCATGCATTGTGCATTGGTGCAATACACAACACATGGCACTGCTGTGCCCATGCACTCTGATGTGTATTACCACAGTGTGATTGATGTGAATAGCCCCTTTACTAATGTGTGATCTGAGTGTTGAGCTTTGGTTTAAAAGTAGACCTTTAATTGTTTCTGGTCAACGTGTACCTTGGCAAAAACTTGTGATTCCTAAGTATTGCATTTAGATACCATACCTGCAGCAATGCTCCAAACTTTTTTCTTTCTCTTATTTCTTTGTTTTTATATTGTTGCAATGTTTATTTTTTTACAGGTAGAGCACCATTCCCTAGGAAAGTTGTACTTAGGCTGGGTTCACACCTGAACGTTTTTTTCCCCCGCGTTCTTCAGTGCGTTTTTCCGTTCAGTGAAACGCGCGTTTTACTCGTGGTATGATTTATTTGTTTGTTTTTTTCCTTTATTTTCTCTTTTAAAAAAAAAATAATATTTTTTTACTTTCACTTTTAAACTTCCCGCTGGGCTCCGCCCCCTGCAACGCGGAAGCTCGCATGGGACGGAACCCGGAAGTCAGCAGCCGCAGGAGGACACAGCGGGGCTCGCGCACAAGGTAAGACCTGTACGCTGTATTCCCGAGTGTGGCTCGGGGTTACCGCTTTGTTAACCCCCGAGCCACACTCGGGAATACCAATGGAAACGCGTTGCAAAACGCCCCAAAGAAGCTCCTGTACTTCTTTGGGCATAGGGCGTTTTGCAGCATGTTCCTTCGCGCTGTAAAACGCCCAGGTGGGAACCATGCCCATGGGCAATCATTGGGTTTCACATGTTGAGCGTTTTACAGCGTGTAGGAACGCGCTGTAAAACGCCCAGGTGTGAACCAGGCCTTACTGGCAATGGCACAAAAAAGTAACACTTTTTTTTTTTCAGTCACTAGAATAAAGTATTTCTTTAGAAAGAGGGAGGTTATATTTAGTTGTCAAGGAACTGTGGGATTTTGTGTACATCCTGTTAAGAAATCTGAACCAGAAACATTTCTGTTACTATCATCAGTTGCCTGCTTCCTACTTGCTGTTAGCTGCATTAACCTTTGCTGTATTTTGTGTGAAGTAAGTATATTTTACCAAAAGTATTTGCATTCGTTGTGCGAATGGACATGTATGTAGTTTTGTGTGTGTGTGTATGTGTTGTATTGAGAGAGAGAGATTTGTTTATATTTTATAATGCAATGGATCATTTTTATTTTTGTGGCAGACATCATGGATTTTAATAAAAGTTTTGTTACAACCTCAACTACAGAAGATTATGAGTATCCGGATTTCATAACCTATACCATCAAAGATCCCAGTTCAATAGAAGACATTTTCAAGCCAGTCCTGTACTGCATCGTTTTTACCTGTGGACTTGTTGGGAATGCCCTAGTTTTGTGGATACTGATATGGCTTAAGAAGCTGGCATCCGTGACTGACATATATCTGCTTAACATGGCAATTTCTGACTTACTCTTTATCTTCTCCCTTCCATTTGTTGTATACTCCATTAAATACCAGTGGGAATTTGGAGATGCAATGTGCAAAATCCTGTCTTCAGTATATTACGTTGGCTTTTTCAGCAGTATTTTTTTTGTAACAGTCTTAAGTGTGGACAGGTATGTAGCAATTGTCCATGTGGTCTTTTCACTCAAGGTTAGGACTGTACATTTGGGCATCATTATCGTTGTGTCTGTTTGGACATGTTCCTTTCTGTTTTCTCTACCACATTTTATTTTTCACAAGCTGAGTATAGACAATACAGTTAAATACTGTACTGTTTCTTTTCCAAAAGACAAAGAGGTGGCAATGACACTATTGTCCTATTTCCAAGTTAATATTTTTGGTTTCATAATCCCAGTTGCGGTTTTAACTTTCTGCTACACTCGTATTATTCTAAATTTACGAAACAGTAGGAGTAGGCAGAAAAAATATGCAGTTAAGTTGATATTTATAGTTGTTGCTGTGTTTTTTCTGTTTTGGACTCCATATAACATTGTAATATTTCTTAAGCTTTTAGAGGTACTTGGCGTATTTGACTCAAGCTTTTCAACTGGGTTAAATTCTGCAATGGACATAACTCAGACAATAGCGTTTGTCCATTGCTGTTTAAATCCTATCATTTATTCTTTTGCGGGGGAAAACTTTCAGAAGCATGTATTCAGAATGTTTAGCAAGCTCCTAAAATGCATGAAAGTAAATAAAGTACGTGGATCTTTCGAAAGCTCAGTTATAGACCGTGCATCTGGTACCATAAGGGATTCTCGATCTACATCTTTTACAGAATCTGTTGTGTGATGTGACCTGTACTTTGGGTTTTGATGTTAGTGGCAAAAAGAAAAAAAAAAGGATTGCTCCACATGTCTTCACCTCTAATTTTACTCTCAAGCTAGCCTGTATGTATAACTCTACTCTCAACCAGACTCTAAAAAATTAATCCAACCCCTAAATTGAACCTTCAACCTCTCCAACTAACACTTTAATGTAATCTGAAAACTTAATCCCTAACCGTTAACCTAAACTCTTACACATAACCATTAACCTTGCCCTAATGTTAACGGTGAACAACGGGTATACAGTATTCAAGTGACTCTGTTAAAAGTAAAAGAAAAAGGTTTGCCCGAATATATATGTGGTGGGTTGTGTGATGGTAACAGAAGCTATTTCTCTCATGCATATAGCTATTTTTCATTTATTATTTTTCCACTTCCCAGATTATGAATTGCTGTGATTTTGACAGTTTAGGACAAGCTGTACAGCACCTGCAGATTGATGAAGTAGATCTGAAGGGTAATCATTTTTGTTTTGTAATAGAGGAAGGGAGGGTTATAACCCTTGGCATTTTTTTCCTGCTATCTGTGTCCCATTGGGAAGACTTCACTTCACGTCCTGTTCAATAGCCACAACAGCAAGTGAGAGGAAATCCCTTCCAAATATAGGTTAATCCCTGGTAGTTGGAAAATTTCTGATACCTTTTTTGGTGGCAACTCAAAATTTGGGATTTTCTTTCACTTTGTGATGAGTAACCAGGACAAATCGAAAGGGGAAAATCTCCTCTAATGGGGACACAGACAAAAAAAATAAAAATCTTGACAGGTGTTCAAATTCCCCTTCACTCTATCCAAAACCTAAAAAAAAAAGTTTCTTTGAGTTGCACTTTAAGCATGTGAAGTTAAAATCTTAGGTTTCCCCTGAAAAAAAATGCAGATGTTAATTAGGGATTAGTGCATGCCTGCAGAGTTGATACCCGAGTAAGGTTGGATTTGCAACATGGTTGTTGAGTTTAATGTGCATTGAACACACTTCAGTTGACATGCAATTAACGTGTTGCATTGCTTTGATGTGCTTTTTAGGGGTCTAGTGCTGAACGACCCATATATGCCTTGTTTGGGTCACAGGAGTACATTAGTAAATGTACTCCTGTGCCCCAAAAGAGAACTTAAGCCAAATAGCAAAAAGTTAGGTTTTTAGTTCTCTTTTAAATCCGTTTCTTTCTACTAATCATTTATTTGAAAACTGTGTCTAATATACGTTGTGCTTAGGTTGAGCATTTTACTGTGAAGACCTCTATGACCACACATCTTTACACCTAGCTCAGGTAGATTGTACATTACAGGCTATGTCAATGGGGTCTATAGCATTTAGATTAGTCTTTAATTTAGGTCAAGGCACTGTACACACATGAAGATGAATATCTCATAGATAGCCATTTTAAAAGGATTAGCATTATTCAGTAAGCATATACAAAGTTTCAAACCTGTCGTGAAAGAAATAGAAGGGCTTTCTTTGCTGACCTTTACTGCTGATACAGATATGAGGGAGATGTCTTAGATTCAATGAAGCATCACAATTACTATTTGTGGAATAGTTCTTTCACAGCAAACTGTTTTCATATCTTGACTCTTAATATAATTAGTTGTTTGCTTTCTTGTTCAGTAGCACATACACGTTTTTCACGGTACCTTTTATATCTATGCAGCTACTCAGTGTGGTTATGTACAGCCTGAATTTTCAGTCTAGGCTACACAAAGTCTGATCCACAGTGAACTATCCAGATGGCATCATGTTATTTGGGGATGGGGATGTGGGTTGTATTGTGTAATGGACCTCTTCTGAGTGCTTTCAAAATCAGTACTTTTTTGTGTTTTGACATAAAATAAATGTGTAATTAGAAAATGTTGTTTATGTTCTTTTATTTAAGTTGTTAGGCTGTATTCATACTGTTGCAATGTGGGTTTTGTGTGTGGAAAAAGTCCTGCTTGCTGCTTTTTGTTAGTTCCCAACAAAAAAATGCATTACTTAGGCATTAACCGCTTCACGAAGGATAATGGCGACATGAATTCCGGACTCTGTTCAAATGTATACAGCCGGCGGCCGACTTTACAGTAGAAGCGATTCTGGCTGCTCCTTATTTAAAGTGTAACAGTAATACTAAGTGTCTTTTAGACCCCCAGTATCACCTTAAAGAGTACCTGTCACCACCAATATTCTATCACATGGGGGGCTTGTAAGCCCCCTATGTGATAACAAATCATTTTAAAAATATTAAATCAAATGTAAAAATAATTTTTTTAAACAATAAAATTCCCCCACAAGCACACACGTCGTCACGTAAACATGCATCGGGTGCGCCTACATACGAAAACTATGATTGCGCTACGCATGTTTAGTATCGCTGCACATGCCCGAGTGAGAGCAATAATGCTAGGGCCAATATTTAACTAAACTGAGGAACTGTGGGGGCTTTTAAAGTGTCGTCTATGGCCTTTTTGGGGTACTGAATTGTGTCGCCGTTTCACGGGTGCCCACAATTTTGAACTTGGACATGTTGGGTATGCATTTACTCGTTGTAACCTCCTTTTGTATTTGATTTAAAACATTGTTTTGGGGCATTTGAGTGCATTGTCACAAAATGTTTGGGTTTGACAAAGAGTTGCGCTAATATTGTGCAACATAAAAATTTGCAACTGCCACCATTTTATTCTATAGAGTCTTGCCTTTTTAGAAAATATATAATTTTTTGGGTAATTTTCAGGCCTAAAATGTGGATTATAAGATGTAAACAAAAAATGAAAAATAGGCCTCAGTCACAAAGAGGTTAATGTCACATGAAAGTTAGTCAGACTCTCTTGCAGCTTCCACTTGTACTGCAGTGAAGCTTGTCTAAAGCGATTTATTTTGGTGATCATAGCTGCAGCATTCAAATCTGTGTACTTGGGAACAGGTGAGCTGAATTTGTTAATTGCTAAAATCATAATTGTCATCCTCCAACACTGGATTTGCAGGAAAGCAAATCGCTTGCGAAGTGTATTCATCTGAACGGTACGGTGTGTAAATTTCTGACTTAAGCTGATAAATGCTTCAGGTTGTTCTCTGTTTTTTGTACTAAGGTCAAACCAGCGTCACAACTCTGCTCACCAGGCATCTTCTTGCGTCTTCCAACTCTTTTCTATAAACTGTAGAAATGTCATACCATTTGTACACCTGCAAAGCTTTCTCAGTTGCATTTAACACTAGATGGTCTAATTTTTCCTGGCAAAATAAAGTCAATGCTTTCAACTTTTGCACACATTAACCTTTAAGTCCTTCTTGCTGCAGGTAGCTCTGAGCATCATTCAATTAGGTTAGTACTGGGCTCCAAAAATGCAAGAATTAGAAAAATAATAGGTCATGATGCAAATTAACAGACTTTCTGCATCACCCTTGGTTTCAGAGGTTTCTGCTTGTCCATCTCTCAACACTTCCAAAGCTTATATTTCCTTGGCATACTTAGCAGGTATGCACACAGCTTCATGCTTTAAACTCCATCTTGTCACATGATTGCTTTACGTGAATTGTTTCTTGAAGACATCCCAACTATGGGTGGAGCTTGAGAAGAATATGTATACCTTTTCCACAGTTCCAAAGAAAGTAACAGGCTGTGTGCCAGTGCCAACTGCAGTCACACCAGCAAGATTGAGTGATTGTTACATGGCACAAACACTGCTTTGGGATCAGGGCAGACTGACCATTCGGGCACTAGGACGCTGCCAGAGGGCCAGCGACCAGAAAGGGGCCCCGTTCTCACCTGCTGTGTGCCGCTTGTGTACCGGCTGCTGTGCGTTGCTTATGTACTGGGCCGGTATTGATTTTGTATAATATTCCAGGTGCCCATTGTTGTGTGTAAATGATGTAATAGAACAGTACTGCGTTATATATAGAGCTGCAACAGTTAATCGATTTAGTCGATTAAAATCGACGATTGAAAACGTTACCAACGTTTTCGATCGTCGATTCGTCGGCTATCAATTGATTTCCCTGTTCGGGGCTCTACACGCGGCCTGAAGCACACGTCACACGCTGCTCACGTACCGCTGCGCCCGCCGTGCTCACAGGACACCTCCCACCGCACGCTGCTCCCGCCGTGCCCACAGGACGCATAAGCCACGCCCACCGCTGAAGCCTGTTCGCGGCTCCACACTCAAGCCCCGCACGCAGTGTCAGATGTTAAGATCAGTATCCGGCGGCTGGCGGGCCCCCCATCTCTGTGCCGGGAGTGTCGGATGACACTCACGGCGCAGAGACTGGGGGCCCGCTGGCTGCTGGATACCTGCTCTCTATATACACACAACTGGTCCCCGCACAGACGGTAACGTTTTTGGGTTATTGGATCAATCCCCAGGAAATGACCGTTACATTGCCAGGGGAAAAAGTGTATTTGCTGGTAGAGTCGCTGAGACTGAAGCTGCAGCGCGAAGTATCAGTCAGGTCAGTGATGAAAGTGGTGGGACTTATGACGTCCGCCAGCAGTTACCTGGGCGCAATTCCATTCAAGGACATTACAGAATTGTCTATTGAGGGCCTGGGGAAGTCGACAGGAAGACCTAGACACATAGTCCACATCACGGAGGAGACCAAGCAATCCCTCCTGTGGTGGATGGACTGTCGAAACCTCTCAGTGGGCAGGCTGTGGTGCCAGCCTGCGCCATTAATAGTCACGACGGATGCCAGTGCCTGGGGATGGGGAGCCCATTGCCTGGAGCACATTTGGCAGGATACCTGGGGGCACACAGTGTCAGGTCGTCAAACTGGAGAGAGCGAAGGGCGAGCTCTCTGCCAGTTTTGAGATGTATTAGCAGGCCACCATGTGGCGGTGGTCTCGGACAATGCCGCAGCGGTAGCTTATATAAACAAGCAGGGGGGCACGCGTTCGCATGGGCTGAAGGCATTGGCGACAGAAATTCTGTCATGGGCAGAAGGAAACCTCCTCTCCCTGACAGCGAGACATATCAAAGGCAGCCTGAACGAGCTGGCAGACTCACTC